CGCTTCCCAAGCAGCGCACTATCCAGTGCGCCACCGGGCCGGCCCTCACATTAATATTCTGAATGCGTCTTTCCTCCACACCTCTAACTCACCTGTAGTCTCTTCACTCTGAGTTCCATTTCCTGAATATCAGAGGGAGGCTTTGCCAACTTTAACGTTTCCAGCTCTGCTTCAGTTTTGTCCAGCCAAGTGGTGATGTCGCAAATATCAGAGTTCAGCTGCTGCAAGTTTTGTTTTATTCTGAGTTTATTGTGAAGCTCTTGTGCTTGAATTAGCTCCCATCTGTCAAAGGCACCTGGAATAAAAAGCCACTAATTAAAAAAGCAATGATACAGATTTCTCTGCCTCCAGCTAATTAGGGGTCAGAATGATAAAAACCTGTAGGGGATGTCTCTTGCAGGAAGATCCAGGTTTGGGAGTTCCCTGTTTGGAATATGGGGTTGCATGCTTCCCTTGCTCTGGTCCAAGGCCTATGCTGCTACCCTCCCACAAAAACTGGAATGAGGTGGGGAACAGATTAGGAAACCCAACACGTTGCCAATATGTGCTGTGGTCTCAAGTTCTGCATTTCAGTTCATGCTGCTGTTAGGGTGTTTTCTCCTTTGGTCTGTGAATAATCAGGTCAAGGCTATCAGTTCTGCTTTAGATTTAGTTGAGTAATTACTTTTATAATTATTGAACTAGCCTAACGAAGAGACATCTAAGACAATCATCATTTTCATGCCTGATCTTTACATACAAGTAAAGTTATTAAAAACATGCACTTCATCATATGATGCTCATTTTTGTCAATATTTAAAGAACAGTTTCCAAATTAAACCGCCTAGGAATTAATTCATAAATACAAGTCAGATTTGAAAAGAACACTGGCTGTTGTAGGGTAAGTTCAGCAGTTTTGGTGAATTACATACTTGGTGAATTCCTAATGTTCTGCCAAGTGAGGACTTAAAGTAAACTAACCCAAAATACCAAACTCCACCCTCTCAACAACTGCCAATTAGGCAGTACCTGAATGCTGTCCTGCTATGCCAGCCAGTCTCTCGTCTTCTGGCTGTGGGCTGCCATTCAAGACTCTTGGGCCTTCTTTGCCACCATCAGTGCCTGGAGGTAACAGCAGCTTTACCTAGAGTGAGCCAATTTTTGTTACCATTTGTAAATTGTGAAGGTTATATGAAGAACAACTGGGTTCATATTAACAGGCAAGAAATAAGGACCAGGCTCTTACTGTGATAGCACTTTTACATTTTTCATAGTGTTTGACAAAATTTTAATGATCCTTCCCTGTCACTCTGTAGAGGTGGTTGGCGTTATTATCAACAGGAATCAGAAACACACAGAGGACAAATCAGCTTCCCAGGGTCACTCACTACCAAGCATTTATCTTTCACTGCACACACTGACTCCTCTGTTATCACAAAGCTGATTGAGCTATTAATTCAGGTTTTTCCCCAAATAAATGTATCCCTTTTAGAAAAGTCATGCTTTCTTTGGATCATGTCCATTTGGCCAATTTGTGTGGAATGAAAAAAATAACCCTTCAGATTTGTGGTGACATGCCTGGTTTTAGATACAATACACGGGCTGATCTTTTGAAACCAGCCACGTGAGGAAAATAAACGTAATCACTGGTAGAAGCCAAACCATCCAGGCCAGGAAGTAAAGCAAAGGTCTGGTGCTGAGGTCTCTTTCCCCCAGTCTTATTCTGTACCATAGAGGGACAGATTAATAATGATAACTGCTTGCTAAGGTAGAGGAAGAGTTTCTGAATTGGGCATGGACAACCCCATTATCAAATGACTTGGAATTGACCATGTAAAGACAGAACTTTCTCCAGTATGTAGCAATATTCACTCCTAGACAGAGTTCACATTCACATTTTGAGTAATCCACTGATGCTTACATTGCTTTTGGTTTCTCTAAAAGCTGGCACTAAAAATGCAAGGGACATTTAAATTTCAACTATCTTGTTGCTAATTCTCTGTACTGGGAATGATCTGTGGCCAACTTTAAAAAAAAGCCTTAGGCTTTCCCCCAAAAGACGCCTAACCAGAGCATGGGAAGAACTCAAGTTTCTTGAGGAAGATGTAACTAAGAAGGGACAGTCACTACTATAAACAGCAAAAAACCAATGTAGGAGGAGGAATAATGACTTCCACTTCTGAGGGCCTTCTTTCACCTTCATATGCATGAATCCTAGCAACAACTGCCTAAGACGGGTTAATCATCAAGAAGGGCTTACAAGGGCAAGGCAAAGTGCTTAAGGCCCCACAGCAACTTATTAGTAGGACTAGGAGTCAAACCCACATCCACCAAGCACACCATCAGATCTGAATATGAAGTCACAATTTTTTGAATAGGATTTGTGGGCAAAAGTCAAATATAACAAAGGTTTGGGATGGGAGATCAGGAGCAGCAGTTTAGGAAAGCCAGCACTTTGCTTCACTCTCTGCATGGACGACTGACCCAACAGTAGTAATTACTGTTATATCACACCAATGCGCATAAGGATGGTTTCTGGCCAGAAGCCTATCTCTAAATCTAGTCAGTTTTGCTAGGGTTCTAATGACAGGGTTCTAATAGATAGCTCAGCAGAGATACTGTCACCATGAGAAAACCAACTTGAAATGTGCCTGGGGAGTGAGCACATGCAATTTTACATCAAAAATCTCTTTTTAAAATTTTAACTATTATTTATACACTTGGGTTATATTCACAGTGAAGTCAAGACTTACATAGCCTGGTTTATAAGGGGTGCTGGAATCTGAAGGGATGGGTGGTCCATTCCTATCACCTTCCATTTGTTTGTAGTGATGCTTGGGACAGGAAGGGCTGTCAGGAACATGCCATGAGTGGCCATCAGAAATGGATTTACCTGAAACAAACAAAAAAACCCAGCAAGTGACAGTCTATTCTCTCCAACCAAAGGATTCATAATTAGTGACACAAAAAAGGTCATGGGTAACATGGCATCAAGTGATAGTAAAAAAATGAGTTCTGCAGCTTTCCTTGCAAAGCATGCATGTTTGCAAAATTTGAGTATGTCCCGGAAGGGAATGAAATGAGAGTCATGCAGCTGGGCAATGTTGTGCCTTCACTAGATGGGTTCACAATGGAGCATGACATATGTGTGATTTGTTGTGGGCTGAGTGGCATTCTGGAGCTGGGGACACTGAGCAGCAAGGCCAGGTCTGGGGGCCAAGAGGACAGAAGACCTCTCAGGAGTGAGGGGAAGAGTGAATGTCAAGATGGACTTGGGAACCAAAGCTGCTTGTGGCTCTCCCCCACCACTGCAGATGCAGTGGGGGCAGAGGATAAAGATTAGAGCTGCAAGTCAAAGAAAGGAAGGTTTCTTCTCCTGCGGCAAATGTGACAGTACCTTCACCTTCACCTACTCACCCCCCATCCTCTTCCGAGGAAATCACCATAAGCAAGGAAATAGTTCCAAACCAAGCCACCATGAAGAAAGCTTGGCCCATGCCAAAAGACCTCAGTTAGATGGAGGAAAAATAATCATCCAAAAAGGCACCATGAAAAGTTCCCTTCTGCACAGGCCTGAGGGAGAGGAAGGGGATGGTGTCGAGACTGCTCTGGTTTGGGTGGGGTTTTGTAAGGAGCACGCAGGCATGGGTGAGCGAGGCAGTGTAAATACACCATGACACAAGGAACAAGGCGCATGGTGTCCACAGAGGCAGAGGTCAGACATGACACGGGAGCGAGGTTTAGGATGCAGTGTGTGCTGCAGGGTGCTGCCATGTTGAGACACATGCACGGGCAGGGGCCTACCAGAAGACGCTTTCAAAGTTTTTGTGGTCATTTTAAGATATGCCTCAGGATTTTCAGGGATTTCTACATCTGAAAAAGAATAATGTCATTTTCCTCACTGGAGGTGCCTGTAGATTAATGCCCAAGTATTAAGTAAACACAGTAATAAACACTGTCAGCTGGAAGGAGAAAACTAACTACCCTTCATCTTTTTTATTAAAAGAATTTTGAAAATCAGGTATTTTTTTTTTTCCAGACAACTTCTGATGGTCTGAAGCAGTGGTGGGGGGAGGGGAGTGTACACAGAAAGAACGGGACACTCAATCAGCTGACGCTCTGAAAACTCCGCTGCAGAGATCACTCATGAGTCTGGCAAACAGCCAGAGCCATCAGTGAACGGCCTTAATGTCGAAAGAACGGGACACTCAATCAGCTGACGCTCTGAAAACTCCACTGCAGAGATCACTCATGAGTCTGGCAAACAGCCAGAGCCATCAGTGAACGGCCTTAATGTCTGAATGTGAATTTTGTTTATTTTTTCCTCTCATTCCACCTGTAATAGGAGGGAGCCAAATCTCAGGTATGTTAAGGGGTGGGCAGGACAGAACATCTGAAGCCACAGAAGTCTGGGTCAGCCATAGGCTGGACTCTTGATCACTGAGAGCTGGTCATGTTGCTAAGGTGCTAAACACACAGCTAAACAGATCAGTTTCAAGGGCTCCAGGAACCCTGGCTATTACCTGACAGTGCAGTGTAGTATGGACCGTCCTCGTCATCTTCATGAGAGGAGGAGCCCCCCACGTCACCCGTGTGATCCCACTCCAGAGGGATGGAGTCCACACTGACAGGGGTCTCACAGCCAGACCGTTCGTGCCCAGGTGCTGGGGGCACGAGATGACAAAGGGACTGAGGACATGAGGGCTCCTCGCGCTCTCCCCTCTTACGCCAAGAATCCGTCTGGATCTCTCTGGGGTCTTCCATGTCCGTTTCATTCTCAGAGGCCTCCTTTTCATCTTCCAGGCCCTAAATCAGAGTATCCAGTTTTCAGATTTAACTAAATCATAGGCTGTTGCAGTTAGAAGAAGCATTAGAAGTCTGCCTGACTAGCAGTTTCTGAAAATTGCCGCCACTAGTATTTCTAAGGCAGCTCCAAAAAGAATCAGGTTCCCAGGTCCTGTTTGTGGTTTTTCCAGCTTAGACAATCTGGAGGGGAGCCCAGAATCTGTATTTTCCAAAACTTCAAGCTTTTTTTCCCCCAGGAAAAAAGCTGAAGTTTGATAATCTAAGTTAAACAACTTTAGAAGATAAGAAAATGGTGGCCAAAGTTTCTTTGGTGGTTAATGGCAGGTTCCTCCAAGAACGAGAACAGTTAACAAAAGGACATTAGAGTGGACTGGGTAACATTCACAACTTCAAGGGCCACACGCACCAGGTTCTTTCTTTACTCTCCCCCAGTCTTACTGTCCAGTGCCTGTACTCTATTGTGTTGTAATGCTTCTCCCAGAGTAAGAAGAATGACTGTAAACTGCTGTATTTAAAAATGAGGAACTGTGAGGTAATTTTTGAGGCTACACCTGATGAAGAACGTTTTGAAGTCGGCCAGTTGGAGACACACAAAAAAGAAAAAGTGACCTGTAGTGTTGGTCAAAGGTCATCACTAAACTTCTGGCACACAAAGGCAGGGAACTTGGAATAATGGCCTTGACTCCACCTGAACTTCCCAAAAGCCTCTTGTCAAGAGAAACATCAGAGTTGCTTTTGAAAGCTGATGTGTTCAACACTTCAAAGGTGAGAGCAAAGCATCAGAAAGACACAAATATTAAAAGCTTCCAGACACTTAGATTGAGGAATAGGCTAATGCATTATGAAGTTACTAATATAGTCAAAACCAGATTGGTTATCAGTGAATTCGAGGGGCAGTGACAACATGCCAGAAAAGCCCCCTCCCGAGAGGTACATTGAAAAGAGATCAGAGGAGCAAGAACTTCCACCCTTTCCACTGGGTAATGGGAATGTGTTCTTCAGTTTTCTTAAATTAATTAATTCGTTTTTAGTTGACACGTATTTATTACACATATTTGTGGGTACAGTTATATTTTGATACATGTATATACAATGTGTGATAATCAAATCAGAGTAATTAGCATATTCATCAACATGAAACTTTTATCATTTCTTTGTGATGAGGACATTTGATCTCTCCTAACCCATTTGAGAACATACAATAAATTATTATTAATCATTGATGCCTAGCCCTACTGTACACAACTAGAACTTATTTTTCCCATCTAGCAGTAATTTTGTATCCATTAACCAATCTCTCTCTGCCCTGAGAACAGAGGCAGGAATTACACTTACATCCTGCGGTCCGTTCAGTTTACATCTGGACTCACAAATATTTATACAGTATGTCCTCTGAATTACAGAAGTCAAAGGTGAATATTTACATTCAAAAACCAAACCCAACCTCAGGTTAGTCAGTGTGCTCTGAAGCTCAGAGAATAACCCTTGTCCCCAACCTCCACAATGCAGAGGGGCTCACGCGTTAATGTACTTTGTCCATATTCCTCAGGGCAAGAACCAATGGGGCACATAAGACAGACAGGTGGGCAAAGCAGGCTCTTTCCGGAGGCCTGTGTGTTGCCTTCACCAGGCGAGTGAAACGGTGCCCAGACTGTGCAGGCAGCCTGTGTGCTAACATGCACACCCCCAGGGGTTACAGGAGTTGTAAAAGGGGATGTGTTCTGGGAACACAAATCACATAAACAGGCTCTGCCTAAGAAGCCCCACATGCAAATCCCTCTTTGAAAATATGAAGTTGGCAGCTTTGGGCTCTTTTGTGTCGGAAGAATGTTAAGACAGCTGAGGCCTTAAATCAAATCTTCTACCCGTTGCTTTGTGTTACCAGCTTGCTGTTGCATATCCCATATCACTTCTCCCCAAACATCTACAAATAGCCCTGGTGACGCAGAGAAGGATACCCTGAGCCTCCGCAGGATGGCCGTGACCCGCTTCTGGAGGTTGTCCCAGCGCTGGTTGCCCTCGTGGACCATCTGCTTCAGCTTGCTGGCCGCGTCCGTGCGGTTCTCCCGGGCCAGCCGCCGGTACTGCTTGTTGATGAGCTCCAGCTGGGTGAGCCTCTCATGGATCTGCCGCTGGAAGGCCTGCAGCACACAAACGAGGTCAGAGACACAGCATGCCACAGTGCCAGGACCCCCAGACCCCGAGCGAGCAGCCGCTTCAAGTGCTTAACCCCCAAGCTGCCAAGCAACAGAGGCCTGACTCTACCAGTTCCTCTGAGGCTAGCCAGAGAACAGGCTTTCAGGCCCATCGCATAGCAGCTGGCATAAATCGGCAATGTCTGGCCAAGCTGTCTTAGCAGCTGGGGGCGGGTTGTGGACTGTGCAGCTCTCGCTGGAGGTGGGGGATGCCAGGCACTTAGAAGCAGTCATCTTTGCAGCTCCTGAGCCTACTACAGGCTTGGTTATTGTCATGAGAACTGGGACAGAGACACTGTTTACCTCAAACCTCTTCAGCTCTTCTTTGGCATTTGTGTACAACACCTCTGAGGAATTCGGGCAGGCCGCTGTTCTCTCGGCGGACTTGAGCCAGTCCTCAAAGCGGGAATAATCATCTAAAAACTTCTGCCACAGGCGCCATGTCTCCTCAATTCTAAGAGGAGGAAAGCAACATAACACAAGCCACCCATTTCAACCCTGTGCTTTCATACTTCCTTTTGCCCCAATCCCAAGCTGCTTACACGCTCACTGTTTAGGGGGAGAGACCCTAGATGCCAGGAAATAACCAGGATGTCATTTCTTGTCTGCACACCTCCTTCCTCGGAGTGCCAGCACCTGAGAGCTCCTGCTTTGCAGAGGTTAAAACACAGGAGACGGGGCTGCATCCGTTACTTTATAGCTGGGCCAACAGAAGTACAGCAGCTGGCCCCCAGCTATGCCACAAGATGCAGGAAAACTGGGAAAGACATTAGCCCCACTGTGTTTTTCTTGAAGAATTTCTTTAATAGGCACCTACTGGCCTTCTCTGCCAATACCCGGCACACTTCTAAGTGAGGAGAACAGACAGCTTCTGTTATTGATGTAGGAAGGGTGCGCTGAGTTCAGCTGGCCACGTTTGAAAGGTTTAGGGGCAGCCCAGTTCTTACTTCATGCGCCGCTCCATTGACATGGCACAAATGTTCCGCCAGCGTCGGTCCAGGCTTCTGGTGGTCTGCTGGATCGAGTCACACTCGGTCTCATTTGCACAGGCATCGGAGTCATGCAGTAGGACATCACAGATGTTAAACACGGACTCCACCCCTGCACTGTGTTGTTCAATATCTCGCTGCAGATCCTACGATTACAACAGCGGAAGAAAATCCTTGGGGGGGTGGTGGTGGGAGGGTCGGCATCAAAGGATCTCTGCTCCTCCCTCCCTCCCTTCTCCCAGCCCAGTGGGGACAGCACTGGGTGCATTTCTACTTTGGGATAGCAACACACACTGACACCCTCTCATCTTGTGCTGTCAGCACCTGACCCGAAGCCTAAACACAGGCAACATTTGCAACTTATCTGTTGCACTAGGTGAGGGTGGGAATGGTGGTGGGTGCCCTCTACACACTGACAGGGGGCACTGCTGACTCTCTGAGAGCCCACCACCCCACAGACTGTGGGCATGCACAGGATCTAATCCATTCCATCCAACCCCAAAGGCCTCCAATTTAGACTTGGATTTGGGGATGTCTTCTTTAGAAACTGATTGAGTCTTTTCAAGCAGGAACTAAAACTTACACAACAGAAACTCTTAACTTTCTGTGGGTCACAGAATCCCTTAATCTATACTATGACTTTGTGCTGTCTTTACACACACACCAAATTGTGCATGCAGCTGCACAGGTGTACGCAGCCTCCCCATGAGCCCATCCAAGGCTCCACGGGTCCAAGGGAAGAATTCTGGGGCAGAGACCTCACCTCTCCAACTGATAGGGTCTAGCCAAGGCTGTGGCTTGGGGAGGGTGATAGTGATGCAGTTCCCCAGTTTGGGAAAAAGAACATTTATGAAGAGAAAATGCATGGTCATAGGAAAAAACGGAAAACCTCTTTAAGAATAAACATGGCATATTCAGTTATCAACAGAGAATACTTCTACACACCATGGGTGGGCTGGGGGGGGAGGGAGAGAGATGAGGAGCCTGTTTTGTCATTCTGAATGAGTTAGGGTTCCCTTGAAATCCACACTCTGTGACAAGTGACATGAGACCAAGCCATTAGTTTTAGTATCCAAATTATATTGTGAAACAGCAAAGGCATAGTTAAATTCTATTTAATAATGCAGGATGAGTGTCCCTAATCTGAAAATTCAAAATGCTCCAAAATCTGAAACTTTTTGGGCATGACACGACTCTCAAAAGAATTCATTCATTGGAGCCTTTCAGATTTTCAGATTAGGGATATTCAACCTGTATGCATTCTGCAAATATTCTAAAATCCAAAAAAATCTGAAATCTGAAACACTTCTGGTCTTAAGAATTTTGGATAAGGGATACTCAACCTGTATACCAATTTCTGAAAATTTACAACACTCTATATAAGCCACTATTAACTATACTAAATACACTTCCCTAGATTCAACGAAGTCCAGTTTACAAGAGGATTATTTTATAAATGGTGCCTACCTTGGTCTACAGAAGAGGCTGTATAAGGTTCATTAAAGGTCACCTTGACATTTCGATAATTTTGGAGATGATTATCATATTAGTAGATAGGACTAATATTTTCTTTTCTTCTGATAAAAAGAATTTGGATCATTGTGTTCAGGTGGATATGAGAGAATAAAATGCTAACACTACAACCACATTTGTAAATTAGGCAGTTCCTAACACAGATCCTTAGTAAAAATGAGCACCACAAAGCTACATTCAGAAGAATTGTATTTTCCATTTGGTCACCACGTGTGCCCTGTTAAGAGAGACGTGCAGGGTGATGTTTTGAGCTCTGCAGCTCAGGCACAGTGCCTAAAATGCTATAGTGGTGGGAGTCTCCTAGAGTCAATATGAGGACTAGATTTAAAATTAAGTTTAACTAGAATTCCAGTTTTAAGAGTTCTTGTTGGTTCACGGAGTCGTCAGAGCCTTTTAAAAAATATGCTAGTATTGATATATTTTAACTATTAAAATAGTAATTTAAGAACCCTAACACTGGTGCTAAATGAGTAATACTGACAATTTTCAATGAAAAATGCCCATGAACTCATCTGGCTCCATATGGGTAGGATCTAGTTGAAAAGCACAGAGAAAGTCTAGTCTGTGGATAAACATGAAGGCCATGTATTAGGCCATGTATTTTAATAGACTTTTTGCGTGACCTTACCTATTTATTTAGCTATATTGAATAAAAGGGCTAAAGAAAACTGATTAATATACAGGGTAAATGGTAGTAAGAAATGAGCTCTACGATAATTTATAAAAGACCATCAACATCTTGGTTAGAAAATAAAAATAAAAAGCCCCAATATTTTCAAAATTTCCCCAGAAAACCTTCTAAAACACCACAGAATGGCCTACTGATGTTGTGTACAAACTAGTTACCCTGTACAATATAAACTGGTGGACCACATTTTAAAATGCAAACCATTCAAGTGCTAGATGAGTAACATTTTATAAACGGAAATGGTCTTACTAATAGCACCCACTGAAACATGAGTCTGCACAATAGATTTCAGAAATTGTCCAAACCCAGAGAAGAACTGAATTTAAGACACAACATAAAATGATGCAAACGACTTTTGCCAACAGTTCTGGAAACAGGCTCCTTTTCATTTGATTTTTCTGCCCTGAGTATGTGACACAGAGCACTGAAGGTGGGAAAGAGCTGGGGGAGGGCGGCAAGAGGAGATGGGGCAGAGGTGAAACTGGAGGAGAGGACACAGCCAGGAAGAATGAGCATAAAAAGGAACAAGAAAAATAAGAGAAAGAGGGAAAAGAAGAAAAACGGGCTGAGAATGGAAAATCACACAGGGTGGAACCCCTGGTGGTGGCTCTAGAATGTCTCTGCGGGAGGGGCTTGGGTGGCAAGTCAGGCAGGATAGTATTGGGGAGTGCTTTAGGGGGGTTGGGGTGAAGCTGAATTGGCCCACTTGGGAGGGGGCTATTGGTAATTACAGAATGGGAGGGTAAATAACAATCTTCCCAAGCCACCATCTGGCGCACCCAACAGGGAACCAACAAGCCAAGAAAAACTAGGAGGGAGATGCTGAAGACTCAGACGGAAGTGGTTCATGATTTGCAAGTATCACAATGTTGCCACCACTTCCTTTGCATTTTGTAGATGATATATTCCATAGGATAATACAGGAATATATCCCTTATTACCTTATACTTAAAAGAGTTCTACATAAGAAAGGAGAAACAAAAAGAACTCTTATGGGGTTTACCCCATCCCCCACCAGGTTCCCAAGGACATTACAATGAGGATCCAGGGACACCATGGTTCTTGACCACTTTTGGGGGCTGAGGGCTTTTGCAGAAAGCAATACTAGGTGATTCCAAGTTCTTACGTCTTATTTTTGAAGCAATCAAGCAATTATTATATTTAATTTAAAAAGGAAACATAGGTACGATTTTTAAAAATGACCCATACATAATTCTTTTGTGTGACAGATTTCTGTTTTCAGTCTTCTGGATGAACTATTTAAGGTCTGGGCTTAGTATAATAAACACACAGTTACTCATTCTTTTTAAGAAACACACAAAGTTTCCTGAGACCATCTGTGATAGGCAGAATAATGACACCCCCAAAGATGTCCAGATCTTAATCCCAGAGCCTGTGAATATGTTAGGTTACATGGCAAAGGAGAACTAAGTTTGCTAATCAGCTGACCTTAAAATACGGAGATTATCCTGGATTATCTGGGTGAGCCCAATGTAATCCCAAGGGAAGCAGAAGAAGAGGGTCAGACAGAGGGAAACATGGCTATGGGAGAAAGGCACGGACGGATGCAGTGTGGACAGCTGTGGAGCAGGAAGGGGCATGAGGCGAGAAATGAGGGTGGCCGCTAGAAACCAGAAAGGGCAAAGAAACAAATTCTCCCCTAGAGCCTCCAGAAGGAACGCAGCCCTGCTGACACCCTGACCTTAGCCCAGTGAGACCCAATATCCGCTTCCTAACTCCAGAAGTACAAGCTGATAAATGTGTTTTTAAACTGCTAAGTGTGTAGTAATTTGTTATAATAGCAATAGAAAACTAATACAGCGTCTAACTTCTTTACAGGAATGGTAATCCTGATGCCAACTCCATAATTTCTTTTGGTCACCAAGGGATAAGAATTCCAGTATGATGATGCTGAATTGTATAAAGAAGGAAGTTTCGAATCAACCAGATTGATATATATATATTTTTTGTCCTTTTTGAGACCGTCCGCACTGCGCTCAGCCAGTGAGCACTGTGCTCAGCCAGTGAGCACTGTGAGCGGACCGGTCATCCCTATATAGGATCCGAACCCGCGGCGGGAGCGCCATATTAATGTACCACTTCAGTACGGGAACAGACAAGGCCAAGAGAATGGCAGTTGTTCCAAATTGTATGTTTTGGAGAATAAATTCCCTGCAATTTAATGTTTTGTCACACTTCAGATTTATAAAAAGTTAACACAATTACCAGCCCCTGCCAAATATAGCCAGCCATTCTGTAAGAGGAAAGATATTGCTGGCTTCCACACTATTTACTTGAAAAAACTCACCCCTGAGGGTAAATCATTCTTTACAAGGCCTTGTCCATTAAGAGACTATTCAAAGAAATTCATCTTAGTGGATCAAACTTGTAAGGAAAGCCGATAATGTTCAGTAGCTATGACTCCACTGAGAAGGGCATTAAAATCTCTGCAATGTCCATGGATACTTATATCAATATTCTTTTCTCCACAAAGCAAAGACAGAATCTAGGTGACCTCAACGAAAAAGACACACTTAAATTTCTGAGGCTAAGAGGAAAAACCAGTATTTTTAATTTGTAGCATTACTAAATCACACCAGTTTGAAAGCCAGAGAATAGGCATCATTTAAACAGTAATTGTAATAGCACTTTAAAAGGTCAAGAGCAAAATCAAATATTTAGCTCTATTTATGGTAGCATGAAATGTCACTTGTTACAATTAAAAAGACGGACTTGAATTCAAGCGAATTTATCATTAAAGGGTCTAGCAGACTTCTGGCCTTGAATCTGGTGAAAAAGTCTCAGCCCCCAACTCTGTCTCTGAGCACCTGTGATATGCAGTGAGGATGAGGTGTTGGAGGTCTAACGTGAGGAAAACAGATGCGAATCTGAGAATCATACTGTTTATATGGTCGGAAAAGAATTCACCCACAGCTCTGAGGAAAACAGAAGTGAACAAAAACTACAGGAAAAATAAGATAAACTTACCTGTTTTTTTAAAAAACAGACAAACTCGGGCAATGCACATGAGAATGGGCATGTAACCATGAACCCATGGAAGGCAGGAAAGTGGATTCCATAAACCAGTGATGTCAAAATACACCTGCCAGGTTAGTGCAGAGATTTTCAAACTGCAGAATTTCCAGGGCTGGCTCAGAGCATGCATAACAAAAGGCATAACAAAAACGCACAGAGCACTGCAGCTCTTGGGAGGCCTCCTAAGCTACTGGTTCAAGCATGTTCCTTATTATACCTTTCCTGGTTTTAATTTTTTCTTTTTGGAAGCTCTAACAGACACACACAGTAGACCCCATGAAAGTTTTCCTTGGTTAGAAAAGTTATTTTTCTTTCAATTCATTGCCTTCCAAGACTATATTAAAGCACAACAAAGATCAAAGTTAGCACACGTCGTAGACACCTGTGTCTTACGAGAGCTCATTTCTGAGCGCCCACCTGCTGCTCGGCGAGCCTCTTCTGGATCTCCTGATCATCGCAGACGTCATAAACAACAGGCTTAGAAAGCTCAGACTCAATTCGAGCCAACCAGGTGCGCAGGTTGCTCATGTTTTTGTCTAACTGCTGAATAAAAGCAAACGTCTCCTTCAGCTTCTTCACCCTAAATGTAGTTGCAGGGAAAAAAAGAGATGGAAAACAAAAACCCAACATTTAGTGATGAGAAGAATGGGCCAGTAAGGGCACTGGACGGTAAAAAGGAATCCACACTGCTTTGATTTTACAGCAGGAACAACTCTCACATCACCAGATATGAGTTTTCACAGAATATGGGACAATTTGCAGAACTGTTGACTCGGCTGATTTTCAAATGGACTCTAGTTAATCCATCCATGCAAATATGGAAGTCCTATCACTCCTGTTCCTGACTTCTGTCCAGTTTCTGTCTTGGATCTACCCAAGATTGCAGCAGCCAGTGATCTAGCCTGACAAATTAAAGATGTCACACGCCTGGTTCACTTGGTGGTGTCTGGACCTAGATGCCTCTCAAGGGACCCACCTCTTTGAGCCAGCACAGAACACGTGACAAACTCTACCACTTCAGTAGGAGGGGTTGAGGGTGCTGTACCCATCAAACTAACCCAATGTGGGTACATTATGGGCATGTCAGAGAGGGAGGGGGCAAAGGATTTGAACATGAGCACAGTTCTAACGCCATCTACCTTGTCAGTGCACCTTAATGCCCATCCAGCCGGCTTCACGTGGAGCAGACCTGAAAGAACTTGTGGCACCAGTGTAACTTGGTGAACTCACTGGTTTGTCAACAAGCTGTCAAGGAGCAGTAGTGATGCAGATGCTGAGGGAAAACATCATTTTTTGTCTAGAAACTGAAAATGCTTCCATAAATTGCTTTCATGAACGTCCTGGTAATCTGTGGGATTTTTAGTTAATGGCCACAATAGAAAGATCCCATTATCAATACTCATGTTGGAAGGTGCCAGCAGAACTGCAGCCCATGGCTGATAGCACTGGGAAGGCAAATCGGGGCACTGACCCTAACTTGCAGCAAACACCTGCACCCCACACCAACATCATCCCTCACTTGATGGAACAGCCCACTACCCGCCTCCTTGCCCTCCTGCCCTGCTGAAGTAGGCAAGTGTGGAGCCAGAAGGCAGTCTGATCCTTGCTCACAATCCTTCAAAAGTCCTCACGCTACCCTGACAAATGGGATTAATCCCGATCTTTTAAGTATCACAAGCAATCAATGGCCACTGTGCCCTAACCCTGCATTTTGCAAAGCGGCTCCTCTTTCCTTCTGGAGTTTCCACCCACAGCTCACGGAGACGAGTCAGGCGCCCCTTCCGGAACAGCCCACTACCCACCTCCTTGCCCTCCTGCCCTGCTGAAGTAGGCAAGTGTGGAGCCAGAAGGCAGTCTGATCCTTGCTCACAATCCTTCAACAGTCCTCACGCTACCCTGACAAATGGGATTAATCCCGATCTTTTAAGTATCACAAGCAATCAATGGCCACTGTGCCCTAACCCTGCATTTTGCAAAGTGGCTCCTCTTTCCTTCTGGAGTTTCCACCCACAGCTCACGGAGACGAGTCAGGCGCCCCTTCCCCACGTGCCCCTGCAGGACCTGGTCCCTCTTGCCTAGTGCCCTCACGGTGCCAAGTCCGCATCTCAGACACTGTGTGCCCGTTGGGACAGACATGGTGGCCAGGCTGCATTGGGGTTGCTTCCCCTGCATGCACAGCATCTCCCACACTGCCCGGTGGGCAGGAGGTACTGACACATGTTTGTTGAATGAATAAATGTGAATAAACACTTCCACTACAAGTTATGATTTAAGTAGACCACAGGGGTGTGTGTGTGTGATTTTTTGTATTTTATGATAGACCGTGGCAGCCCCGGAGACTGACTTCCAGTTCCATCTCTACTACAAGCTACTTTTATGATTTAGGGAAAATCCTTCTACCTAAGCCCCCTCGTCTGTAGTAGGCCTCTGGGGTCTCAAGCTTCAGGGAGGAAGCAGCATCTGGGTGGGGTCAGGGCCAGAGCTGTGGAGGTGAGCAGACCTGGGTCTAGGTCCCTTGCTACTACTTCAAGCTGTGCATCCCTAGAAGGTTCCTAACCTTCTGACCCCCAGTTTCCTCATTATCTGTAAACTCATCCTCTCTGCAGGTGGTGGTGAGACCAAAACAAGATAATGTACGTACAACTACCGGCATATAGTCAGTGCTCAATATTACAAGCTCTTGTTATGCTGACGGGTTACACGATGCTACATTAATGCCTTCTCTACACGGCACTGGACTCACAAAGTTCCCTCATAAGTGTTTCATTCTTGACAGCACCATGAGGTGGGCAGGCTGGGAAGGAGGCCGTGTGGTCGGGTGGTGAAGAGAACACACAGGCTTTGTGGTCAGGGTCTGGGTTTGAATCCCCATCTGTAAAATGGTGTTAACAGCAGTGCCTCCTTCACTGGGTGGTTGAGAAGACGGAATGAGATATGACACATGAAAAGCATCTGGCACGATGTCTCACAGACAAACGCCCAGTAACTATGATCATGATGAGTTTCAAGGCGGTGTATGTTCCAAATTATAATCTTACTGCAAACACCACAAGGAGAAGTTCCCTTCAAAGCCACAAGATGATTTATTAAAAAGGAAGTAACAGAATACAGAGCCAGGCCTGGATACAGTTGTAACCTAGATTCCTTCCTCGTTCCCCTGTCTTTTGAGGTACACCCTCCTCACCCCAGTATATTGCTGCCCTGACTACCCAGGAACCACAGAGAATATCCCAGACAACTGCCAGGGCAGCCAGGTAGCTCAGGCACCATGGAACAAGGAATCTCCCATGCAGTTTGCGAGAGGTTGCCCTCCTGGAAGGCTCAGGCTGCGGAAGAGACCCGGCCATGAGAGCTTCCCATGGGTGGGGAGAAGCCCTTGGCCCAGTGACCTCTGCATCGTTCTCCTGCCCTCTCCCGCTCCCTCCTCCCAGAACGACAGCCCCCCCCACTGCCTGCATCCAGCACCTGACCCTATTCCACCATAAGAAACCGGCTGCTTTCCTATTTTAAAAAGGACAGGGCTGGCATGCATGGTTTTAAAAGAGAACAAACAAAATAACCTGGGTGCAAAAACAGGGATGTGGTGGTCTTGAATTCTGTTAACTCCGGGGGCTAGGTGTGCAGTAAGCACAGGGGGAGTCTGTAGAGGGTGGAGGAATAAATTGCTGGTTTCCCTAGGAATGTGGTATCCACAAGGGGTGCTCAAGACAAACCAATGGGGTAAGGAAATAAAATATTAGGCTTTCTATTGCTAACCCATTCTTTTAAATTTCTACATTGTATATGCTTTATAATTAATACTTTATAAAAAGTGGAACATCTAAAGAGCATGCTAACATCTACATATGCCAGACCTGTTGTGCTTCATGTGCTAGCAACTCATTTAATCCTCACAATGATGCTATGAGATGGCTGCTGCTATTATCCCCATTCGATAGATGAGGAAACTGAGGCACAGAGATGGAACAAAACTCATCCGAGTTTGCAGGATTCCAACCTGGGCAGTCTGATCCAGAGCTGCTGTTCTCTCACATAAACCTAAATACACTAATGTGCACATATTGATTGCAGGTACAGGATGGTTTTCATTGCATAATCAGAAGTCTGGGGCCGGCCCAGTGGCGCACTGGATAGTGCGCCGCTTAGGAGGCGCGGCGGTGCTGCCGCCCGAGGGTTCGGATCCCACATACAGACCGGCTCCCGCTCACTGGCTGAGCGAGGCGTGGGAGCAACACCGAGGTTTGCAATCCCGTTGCCGGTCCCTGGTCCGGTACGGGGGCAACACTGAGGGTTGCGATCCATTGCCGGACACGGAACAAAAAGACAAAAGACAAAAAAAAAAACTAAATACACTAATGTGCACATATTGATTGCAGGTACAGGATGGTTTTCATTGCATAATCAGAAGTCTGGACTCATGGCTCCAGGATACATTGGAGAGTGGGGGCAGGGGGAGGTTGGGAGCCAGTCCACTGGGTGCTGCATTTTGGGACTCTTAGCCAGTGCCCATGGAGGAGGCCAAAAGGCTTAGATATGTTGCCCATGTTTCCCCTCCATGATTTTCTTTCAATATTTAACCATTTGCTTTGTCTCGGGTCCTGTGCAAATCTGAGGATTCAAAGATAACTGCAAGATAGGTCTTATCCCCAAAGAGCTCATCGCCTAACTTAGATGTAACACTACAATACAACATAGGAGGTGATCAAAAGCTATTGAATGAGTAAATGTTCACTCATACCTTCCAATTTGTGTAATTTGTCTGTTTTATTGAAGAGGTGGCCATGTTATATTTTAAAGGATTGAAGTAAAGACCAAAACACCTTGGAGCCCTCTTACCACAAAACAATGTGCTGCTATACCACGGGCCACCTGCACTCTCACCCTGGTTCCATACTAGGCAAGTGAAGTATGACTGATGAACGTGCACACAAATCAGACATACACTTAGGGCAAACTAAAGAGGAAGGGAAGGCGGGAGGGAACGAAGGTTGCCAAAAAAACTACAAAACATGGGCTGGCTGGTTAGCTCAGCTGGTTAGAGCGCAGCCTTCTAACACCAAGATCAAGGGTTCGGTTCCCCATACCAGCCAGCCATCAAAAACAGCAACATCAACAACAAAACTAAACTAAACATTCATCCAGTCATGACTTAACCCATTTGTATGTCCCAACCTCTGCCTGAAGGCGGGATGCCCCAAGTTGCATGGGAATATAAATGTTGCCCCTCAGATAACCATGTTACAACTTACTCTAGGAAACATCAGATGCATTTTTGAGTTTGTGTTGTTCTGTTCTGGACAGACACTAATCGAATGACCACCTTCTCCCAGTTCAGGAAGTTGTTTGCCCACCCAGGCAACTGACCTCCATGTTAGACCTCGCTAAAACTACTCTTGGAAAAATTTAAATCTTGAGTTAATATTATGAAACAAGGAAATCTATTCAGAAACCAGACCATTGGCAGAGTAAAGCAACCACAAAGCTCCATGACATCAATCACTTAAGCAGTTTGTTTACGTGGTTCCATCTCTGCACTTGCCTACGTTTCGACCCAGCTGCTCTGGACTAACACTTCTCACA